CGAAGGCCCACCCGAGACGCCAGCCCCGCGCCCAGGCCCTCCGGGCGGCAGCGCTCGCCCCCCAGCCCCGGCCGGGATGACAGCCCGCCGCTGCACCGCTCCTCACAGAGCCAGCGGAGCCGCAAGTCGCTCAGCCCGGTGGGCGGCCGCTCGCCCCTCAGCCCCTACAGCCGCCGCCGCTCCCCCAGCTACAGCCGGCACAGCTCCTACGAGCGCGGCGGGGACGTGTCGCCCAGCCCCTACAGCAGTTGGCGTCGGTCGCGGAGCCCCTACAGCCCCGTTATCCGGTGAGTCCGGGCCCGGGGGGGGGAGGGAGGGAGGGACGGGGACAGGGACAGGGACAGGGCTCGGTGTGTGGAGGAGGGGAGACACACACAAAGATCTTCCTGTCCTGTCTCCGGGAGAAAGGGAGATGCGGGTGCCTGTAGCACTCCTGCAGCTAGTTTCTCCCTGTAGGAGACCACCTAGCTGGAAAAAGGCTTTTTAAATATTCAAGGGCATGAGAACATTTTCAGATGAGAGTGATTCAATGAAGATGCTTGTCAGAGGACAGGTTTTCTGAAGGACCAATTTTGATTTTTAAGTCTTTACTTAGAAAGCACAGAGATTCTCAGGTACATTTTTGTGTATCGTGTTCGCCCGTATAAAAGGATGTGCGTTAAATATATTTGCGTTTGGTTTAATTCTTGCTAATCTGAAGAGCAAACAAGCTGACAGGTAATTTGTGTTACAAGTGTTTCTTGTTCTTTTTGGAGGTCTATAGAAAGACGTAGGCTTTCTGTTTTGCTAGGAAAAGGAGCCAATGTCAAGTTTTGTTAAATGGTCTTTTGTGCTTTACACAACCTATGAACATGTGTATAAGTTCTTTTCCTGGTAAGCTTATATATGTGTATATATTTGATGTGTGCTTGCAAATAATTTTCTTACTGTTAATTAGTGGGAACTCGGAAAGTAAAGGGTCAGCATTGCTGTGACTTTTTGAATTTTATACGGTGAGGAAACAGGGGCTGTATCTCTCTGATCAGATACAAACAGTGTTGCAGAATTGAAGCTCTTCAAAGTACTTAAACTTGTAGCAAAACCGCTGGGAATTTAAAGTATTTGCTTAGTGTGTATTTATAACTGAAGATTTTTATTTCCCATATTGGAGTCTTACCATCGCCTCGTTGTTTATAGGCTTACTTAAATTCACATCTGGACTTCAATTTTAAATGTATTAGGTGATTTGCCATTCCACTGGCAAGAATTTTGTTTACAAGGCATTACCTGGTGGGTTGTCTGAGAACTGTTCTCTGATGTTTCTAATGAGCGCTTTGCGTCAGTTACCATTTGGGGTGTCCCACTGTGTATCTGGTGATGGAGCCGTTCCTGTGTTTCACTGGCGGTTGGTGAGCTCTGCTGTCCTGGGTGTTCATCGAATGCTGTTTAAAGAGAAAAGTGACAAAACCGTGTCCTACTTTGTTTAGAGGGATAGACAAAGATGCCTTTGGAAAAAAATAGTGATTGTTTTGAGGTATGGTTGTATGGAATAATTTTGTAAACAATAGGGTGTTTCAAGCAGAAAACACTGTGAGTGCTCTGAAAAACAGCACGTTGTTGTCGTTGTTCCGTGAGAGTCTGTTACAAGTGGTTAAGGATACTCTTTCAAGATGATTCGAATAATAGAATAGTAGGAATATTATGTGCGTAGTTTGACTTAAACACTCTAGGAATCAGATTATTTTCTGTAGATGCTTGGATCCTGGAATGAGAAAGCTAATGATGAGCAAAATCGTGTACGCTAGGTCTGCACTTAAGAGTAGCTGTATTGGCTTGACCGTTCAGTTAGGTTAGGATCCTGTCTTATGCACTGGCTGATAGGGCTGTAGTAGAAGGTACAGGAGATCTTGTATAGGGGACAGTTACAGAACAAAGTTTTGTAGGAGTGTTGTGTTTCTCTTTTTCTGTTGGTAGTGGGCCTATGATTTGAAGCCTGAGAGTTTAAATCTGCTGATTTTTGTGTTGTCTCTGTGTAAGTGTGTAAATCTTCCTTGAGCTGCAGATCTCTTTCCAGGAGTTAGCTTTGTGACTTCACGCCTGCCTTCCTCCAGCTAAACTGTAATTTGCATCCCATCTTTAACTGCATACAGATAAATTACTTTGTTAACAAATGCAGATTGTCAGGTTCACTGGAGAGGGATTGGAATGGCCAAGTGAAAAGAAGAGGTTGGTATATGTAGAAAGCAAGGTCGGTCTGTCCTAATGTGGCATTGATTGTAAAAATGTCATTTTCACAGAAAACAAAAGAAATGAAAAGTGTGAAGATAAGTTTGATTGTTCATAATGTTGCCTGGTGTGGAGAAATGCAAGCTAGCATTTCTTTGCTCCCATACAGCTATTATGCATTATGTGTATTGTGGTGGCGGTGGGTAAATAAAGATGGAAGGTATTTATACAATTGTTTTAGCCATTCAAAACTGTGTCATAATCACCTTTTTTGCTTGACTTTGTGGTACTGTGCCCAAAATGCTGAAAATTTTTTGCTGTGCTGTTTAGATAATGGTATAGTGACCTTAGACTTGATAGAATATTACAGTTTCATGAAGGCAACAGCTTCTTACAGCACCTGTTGTCTTCGTCTGGATGATTTAAAGACTTAATTCTGGGCTTGTATCCAGCTATAATGGTGTCAAGACAGTAAGAACTTTGTATGTGACTGAGCATTCCAGGCTCCAAGTCTTTTTGCGCTTTTCGTTCTGTGTCTCGTATACATGTCTTCTGTAATGTTATATAAATTATCTAGTTATTTTGGTATGTAGAAAACAAGAACAAAGTGGTTCTAGCATGCTTGGAAAGCTCATGTGTCTGGAGTGCTGATTTTTTCATTTAGGTCTCTGAGCTGCTTAGGGAGAAACTTCTAGTAAACAGTTGAAGAGAAACAAGTGAAGTCAGCTTCACTCATTTGAATCCCCGGTTTTCTCAAGCTGCAGCAGCAGTGCAATTGCTGTGAGTTAAGCGTTTTGAATTGCAGTAGTGACTCTGACTACTGTGACTACTGTCTTTCGGTGAGGTTGCCTGGAGGTGGGTTCTGAAGAGAAGCAAAGACTGTAGATATGCGTTCCGCTCTTGGAAAATTCTCTTTGAATGGTAGACTAATTGCCTTTTCCATTATAATAGTAGTAAATGCCTGTGCTTTGGGCAAACTGATTGTTTGAGATGTTTCCACTTGTTGAACAAAACTTCTTTACTTGCTGCTGGTGGATTTGTATTACTGTATTTTCTTGTGGATAGTAACACAGCTGTTCTACAGCAGCACATGCACATTTTCAAAATGGAAATTTTTCCATAATACTAAAAGTATGAAGTATTTATTTCTCTACTGATAAGCTGACTGGATTTTTTTAAAAATTCACAAGAAAAAAAGGGGGGGGCGGGGAAGAAGAAAAACCCACGGTTGACAAAATAAACAGACACAGTCTCTCTGTGGAAACTAGTTTAGGATGAAATTGTAGGAAGAGAAGAACTATTTTTCATAACTTCAGTCAGGTCATATGCTATGTGATCACACATTTAATTCAGTTAGCTGTATAGATGAGTAATCACATTTTTCCAAATTTGGATACACCTACCCATCTGCCTAGATAAGAGTAAGTGGGTGGGGCACTACTAGCATAGTACTACTGTGTGCATGGATGTTGCTTATAGGAAAAATACAAGATCTCTTTTCTTATTGGTACTATAGAGCCATCCCATTGTCTAGATGTAGCTAGTCTGTAGTAGTGAGGCTCTGCAAAATATGGATCATTTATGTGCAAAACCAAGACAAGCATAGGGAAAATTGTAAAATACGTTTTCAGCCAGTAAATGCCTACTTCATGGAGAAGACATGGTTTCACACACCAATACAAAAATAACATTGAATCCAGAGATTCTGCTACTTTTGGACTTGGAGGAGTAGGAGAGATTTTCAGATGTTTCTTCCACTTGTTTGGTGAAAATATATCTATATATATGTATTTTTTTTTTTTTTTTACATAAAGCGCTCTAATCTCATTTAGTAAAACTGTATTTTGCAGAATTTAAAATGTGAAACTGCAGGTTTTCACTGTTGGAATAACTAATTTTTCCAGTGTGTATTGAGGCTCTCACGCTAGTACCGATTCTGAATTTATTAAGATTTGTTTTGTTACTTGGCAGCGGACTTTGCCTTTTGCCCAGCCACCTTGATGTGCCTTGCCTTTTTCTCGTTGCCCTGCTTCTTTCCTTATTGTGGGAAGGGACTTCATTTCAAAAAATTGACTGTGTTTAAAACACAGCGTTTGAATTGACTTGACTTTTTGCTGGTTGATTTTTTTGTAGGGAGAGTTCTCAGCTGTGAACACAGGGTTATAAAGCAGATTTAAGAAACAAATACAATTCATGTTCAGAATTTTTCAGTATTCCTATGTTATGTGTATTGGGGATCCTTTTAAAGATTTAGGGTTTGAATCAGTGAGGCAAGTTATGCAGTATTCATACACAAAGCAGCTGAGTAGGTGGTTGGTTGCAGAGCTGCTTAGAATATAACCTTAAACTAGGGGCTAGAGAAAACAAATTAAATTAATTAATAAGGTATCAAGTGAGAGAGCGCTGTTACTGTTACGGCTTAAAGAAATGAATTACACGTTTGCCTGCCAGTGCAACATGGAAAAGCTATACTATGAACTACAATGTTTTGTCAGGGTGGTTTATGTTACTGAGTGATTATAAATGTCTTGGAAGATCTGCGGTGAAGCCAATTGATTAAATTTAGGTCTCCCTTTTCAAATACACTATGACCTTACCGTGCAGGGGAAGATGGCAGCGCTTAGTCGGTAGTACAGCATTCACTGGTGGTTAATGAAAGCGCTGGGCTCCAGTGGGTCTTTTAACCCCCTTCGGTCTGTTGGGTTCCTTGTTTTTCCACTCTTCTTCTCATGAATCCCTTTGTGTTATGTCTTGTCAAAAAGTTACTGACAAAATCAGTTCCCTTGTTCAGCTCTGTAGGCGAGTAGAATATTGTTTGCGCTTGGGTAACATACGTAGCTGGCTACTAGCATGTTGGATTTAGCTCGCTCTTAAAGCAGTTAAGAAGAAAAGAGGTTTTCAAGTTTACAAACATGAGAAGATAACACATGGCTGTTCTGATTTGTCAATAAAATGTAATGCTTTTCTGTATTAAAATAAAGGGAGGATTGAAATGGGGAAGAAAGAACCATGTAGAAAAAAGTAGCATGGCAAGGAAAAATAGGTAAGCTGAGTGAGACCTGTTTCCTGGAAATCTGACATG